ATAATAATAATGATGCGTCAGCTGTACGCCGTAACGGCGCTTCGCTGCCGCGCGATCACCACCAGTCGCGCGCGGGCTGAGTATACCGCGAGGACGCCCATTCCTACGCGGATTCGAACCGGTGACCTTATGGTTGCAAAGCAAACGTGCAGACCACTCGGCCACCGGCCGATATGAATGGCTCTTAATGTGCAAAGCTCACCATCCAGCATAGCTCAATGGATCCTTGAGGCATTCAAACCATCGCACCACATTAATGTCCAGTCCTGTCGCGATGGCTACTGTGTAGTGAACATATGCTTAACTTTCCCTCTCTCCGATTAAAATCTGTCCACTCTTACGTCATCAGGAACGTGCGTGACTGGAGTTAGTAACGTTGCCACTATAGACATCAACTTGGTTCCAATGTGATTACCGCCAGTGGCAACTGGCCTTAGATATCACCACTGTGTTCACATTGCCCTATTTGGTTATGACATTTTTCTCCTGCGCTTGTTTATGCCGGTGGATCAGTTATTCGCAATAAAGTTCACTACACCGGAAAATACCTTTCATCGTCGCTGTCGCCTTTTACCAATATCCCGCTTCTTATGGGCCATTTTGTTCACTGCTTACCTCAGTCTGAGCCGAAACGATTTGTACGTTACTCCTCCTACCTAAGTAAAGGATGATCAGAAACTCGACCGGAATTGAGCTACGCATTCCAAAACGAGTGGTCGTCAGAGATGAAACTACACCACCTGAAACATATGGTGGTGTTGTTTTCTTAAACCATCCATGACCAGGCATCAGAGGGTTCCGAGCAGAATGTTCTCGTTCTTTACGCACGAAAACAGTACTCAGAAACGACCTGTGATTTTTTCACTTGTAGTAGATGCGTCATTGTCCTTGCATTTGTACTTACTCCATGGTATGTCACTTCACCGAGCTCCAACACGGCGTATTTGCGCATCACTGTGACCAAAAACTAGAGCCTTTTTTGTCCCCGTCGTGCTACTTAATGATTTGCTTGATTTATAGTGGATGACGTTTTTTTCCACCACCGGGGCTGAGGTCGGTTGTGGCTCAATCAGCAACCACGAACTAGGGGCACCGATCACTTCTACATGTGTTGAACTTAATCGATGTTGCCGATGGGATACGTAGTTGACAATGCGGTCTCCGAGTCGACTTGCTACTCTTTTCGATCAGTTCTTCGCGTTAGATAAGTGATGTTATGCATAAAGAAGACCACTCTCTGACTCATCAGAAATCTTTGATAAGCTATCTTTCAAGCACTTAATCCCTCTTGTGTGCTAGCTATTCGTCGACACCGATGATCGCTTTTGCTGGAAAGTTGAAGTTAAATTATATTTTAGGCGCAATACCGTTTTGCATTGTTGCTCGCACTCTGAACGTAGGTTGTTTGATAATCTGGACTGGGGACTCAGGTTGTACGTTGAAAGACTATCGGGTGGTTGCACGTTGTATGATTGCAATCCTCGTAATCCAACCTAATCTCTTCTGATCTGATTGCAGTTGACCTGCACATTGTCAAGCTGATGCTGCGCCTTAGGATAGTTGTTTGGTCAGCAAACGACCTTGACCTTTTATCTAACTGTTCAACTAGCCCAACATGGGCATCGGTTACATCTGTGCTACGAATCAGCTTGTAGAAACTGGTGGATGGCTCCGTCTGGAAGCATGACTCACCAAGCACGACGAAAAGCAGGTGCTTTTAGCCTCGGCTGCTGCGGCTGGATAGTGACGTGATGGTAGCATTTTCTAATGGCGAGGCGGCTAACAATTGCCACAGGTCAATCAACCTCAACTTCTTTTTCATCAAAGGTTACCTAATAGTCGATGTTCTTCTCTCAACAACCCTCAACCATGGTAGCCGGCAGTCTGTTGTTAATAATTTCCGCTGGATCTGTATAGGTCATGGTGACCTGTGATTGTTGACAGCCTGTGGATTGTAGGTTAGCCCATTAAACTATTCCACTGCCAACCATTAACAGTGGGAACAATGAAGGTCTCGTTGGGGAAATTCCGACAGGAGCATTCGAGTAAGTGACTCTATGCATGGAGCGGTGAGAACGTTCCAGATTTCATATTTGATAGTGAATCCTCGTGCGAGGCGGCTTGAGACCAGCCACTCAGTCTTGGAGAATTCAATACTGCTTACATACGTTTTCGGCGTTAGTGCATGCTTCACTTGTTACCACAGTCGATCAAAATCTAATTTTTTCGGGTCGATACCTTGGCGTTCTGCTAGTTCTTTCGAAGCTGACGGTAGCAAAGCAAGGGACAAGTGGTTGTTCTCTCACATCGCCAGCGGCAACTTGTGTTCCCAGTGATCTACTCTATATGAGCTTGTAACCAGTAGCTGTTAGCTCCCATCGCTCAGTTTCTCTTAAACATATCGAGTTTTCTCTAGCCTTTGATAAACCAGGGCTTGAGACCTTTGACATTTGCCTCTTTGGTGTGAGTTGTTCTGAAAACTGTCGGAAACTGCAACTGTCCGCAGTTAACTGGAGTACGGTGGTTCGCAGTTTGTCGTAGCACTTCAAGTTTTCTTCTCGCGACCACTGATTTAAATGTGAAGCTTTTCCTTGACCATAGGGTGTTGAGTATGTTATTAATTGCGCTTTTTTGACCTCCTGTGGATCGCTCATTTATGGTGGGACTGGTGCGAGCCATTCACCCTACCATCTGCGAGAGGTTACTTATTTAATTTTTTTATTTGGTTGTTCTTTGAATTGGACCAACTGTGCTGCTTTAGTGGACTACATATACCTACCGGATTCTTGGTGTGAACCTCCCGCACTTCAACTTTATAGTTGACCTTCCGTAATAACTGCTCCGTAACGCAGTCATTAGGTGCTACGGATCTGGTGGAAAGACTGACAGCGGTTGCGAACCGCCGTTCTTCTGATTTATTTCCCTTGACTTCGACCACTAATCAGTAACTATGTTTGCCGTTACGGCCGAAAATTGGGTGGTTGTATCGAATTCCATCACATTTGTCCCATGCAGGTTTTCTACTTTCTCATTCCATTCGGAAACGAATTGCTTACTTTTCCTTTTTTTGTTTCTCTGTCTTTCTTTTGATTTGCGTTAAGGCAGTTTGATCCATCTTTCTGCCATGCCCAACTTGAGTTCGGAGCCGTGTATTTTGTATACACGAACTATTCAGCTTCCACTTCCTTTCCTTAACCAAGTTTCCCACGTGTGAATTTGGGGGTGTTGTGCGACGGTTAAAATATTGTGTAAACGAATCTCTTCCTACGATGAGAGAGACCTTTCCTGATTATGCAGACATTAGGTTTACTCCATTCCATTGCCTAAGATGACTCTTGGTATGCAAAGTCACTTGTCCATGGTCGATTTTCCCACCCCAGTATTCGCACGCATCGTTTGGATGCTGAGAGAACTTGTAGTCATTTCACATCACCATTCGTCACGTGATCCACTGCTTCGTTTGTGATCCTTCCATTCTTACCTTGTCATCCACAGTCGCTCCATGGGTATGCGGAAATTCGTCCATCGGTCTCAACTGTGAACTCTGTGTCGTCAGATGACTAGTGTTTAGCCGCCCATACCGTCACCGCGTCCAAGAATCCGACGCATGTTTGAATGGTAGATTTTATAACACTTTCGCTTGTTAATTAGTAGATTCACTCGTACCTAAACGTCCAACAGGGATCAGTCCATGTTTACTGTTTCACATCGCGTTTGGAACTGATCGTATGCTTTCAGAAATGTCTGAAGCCAATCGTTTGGGACTCAGTGTGACATTCGGATTGTCGGCTGTGTATCTGGGTTGCGACGCGTGGTCCATTTGTTACTGGGTTTCATCTCCAGAATTGCCCTTGACTCTTATGTTACATCTATTGGGCTACGTTTCATTTCTGCCACTAGCCTTTACTGGGTTTGGTGGACCTGCGTTTTCGTGGTGTGGTGTTCCACAGAAATTTAAAATCAGAATCACAACAGGATGTCCTACTCAAGACCTAATTACACTCAGCAATGAAAATATCACCTCAAGCGGTAAGGTCAGTTAGCGGTGGTCAGATTGGTTCATCGGGTATCGTACTGGTATTAAGCCTGATGATGACCTTGCTAAAACCAGTCACCATGCATTTTTGCAGCTCTACTTGATCCGTTTTTCACGCGTGTGTTAGATTTATTACCTTTTTGGCAGTGTTTCTCGTTCTCCGAACGTCGCTTTTATCGTTGTAGGTTCACCACTACTGTCCAACCATTCAATAGGGCTTTCTTCGGTAATATTGTTATACATTTACCGTGTTACGCAAACCTCTATACTTTAGGTTTGCCTTCCACCAGTTTCTGCTGGGGGACTTCTAACTTTTGTTCACTAATGAGTCCTCTCGACTGGGGACAAGATGTTTGCATCCAAATTGTCCATCTCGCTGAGCATTGCAACAGCTAAATCTCGTGCGCAGTCCATCTGCAGTTTGAACAACCTTTACGATCTTTATTTACCATTCCTTAGATACACTTAGACACACTACTGATGCGCCAGCGCTCAGCGTATACATTTATCAATTCTAGTACCAAGCTTTTTATCTCTTTCAGTCTCGGACAGCTTTTTTCGAGTTTCCTCATCACTGGTTAATTACTGTACCTATCCACTGTTCTATTAGTCCGCGATATTAGCAGCTGTCCTCTTGGTGTCCACACTAAGCATTGATTTCCCCACTACTTTTGGTTACCACTCTGTCCTCATATGCTCACACAGTCTGCACCGTGTGTCAGATATGGGGGAATTTTATTATAAGTCTCATCTGTGCTACCTTCCTTTTCTGTCGGTGTAAGATATGGCCGTTTCTGATACATCCGCTTCTTTGAACTTGGCGGTCAAGTACACGCTGTATTGCAATGCATAGTTTTAGTTACACAGGAACATTTATCAATTTGTTGACACTGATTTCCATTTTTTTTCTTCGCCTCTTCTGTGCTTGGTTTGGATTGTCTCCATAAAATCTTTTCTGTTCCAGATGCAGCAAGATGCCACTCTTGTGAACAAAAGGGTCCAGTTCTATTGTCAGTTTAACCGATGCTTTGAAGGCGTCGTTTACACTGTCGATCCGGCAAGCGGCAATTACGTTATATTTCCAGATCCGATTGAGCACCCATCTTCTTTTACGATCTTATCCGCATGGAGCGTTGAGAAAACCGTTGTACGTCTGATTCCTCCTGTTCATAACAACTGTTTAACACAATGCAATAGTCCAGCTTAGTTCATACCTTGGAGCTTATCGCGCTTGTTTATTCGATGCATGCAGTGTGAAAATTTTTCGCCATCTACTAGTTGTGCAGCGAATTTGGATACTTGTTGCTGCGGTTCTTTCTACCAACTATATACCACAGTGGCTCACTTCCGAAGCATGATTGCCCCCTTGGCGAGTTCGAGGAACGCTCAAACGCTTATGGAGCATTCATGTTTGGTCTGTATCTTATATGACGTGGTCATTTGTCAATCCGCTGTGTCTCGGTGGCCACCGGCTAAATTACTCACAACTCTGGTTTTGCTTGTTTCGGTCGCTCAATGAGGCCACTGAATTTGCTTCGCCGGTTATGCATATGCAGCTGTGTCAGGGCCCATCGATTGATCGCTCAATGATTACTAATGAGTAGGAGGATTTTTTCCGACATTTTTACCGACTCATTTCAGCAGCTCACAAGCCACATAGTCTAGTCACCACTCCGGAGAAGTATCAGACGGTCGTTTCGTCCTATTGGGACTTGTCAGCGTTGTGCATTCCCTCGGTTTCCTTCACGGAACCGAACCCATGACCACTAGCGGCTTGCGCCAACCAGCCAGCAGCTTTTACCACTGACCCATAGTGGGTGGTAGCGAGCCGTCAAAACTTGCACACTTACTGGAATATAACACGAACTATCTTCCGCTGCCATGCTGGTTATTACCATTGCAGAGGTCATGACTTTCACTGCGCAACTGCTATGCACACAGCATTTGATGATTGTGAGCGCGAATTGATTAACTATGTGGCATTTGAGCTGCTGGAATGAATCAGTAAATATCGGATCGACCTGTGATCAGCATTTTTCGCCAAAGCATTGTTAGCCATAGAAGCTTTATTTTTTTGTTGACATTGATGTGTTTTTCGGTTACGATATACTGTTAGATCTTTCCTTGGTGTTATATCTTTTAAACTCCACTTGTATACTAGAACTAACAACCATTTAAAAACAATCTAACTATGCACTACTGCATTTTTATACCATAAAATTTCCATTCATCTGGTGTCTTCTGGTAATGATCATTTTTCTCTTCCAACTACTCTTTTATCAGCTCATTTCTGTCCCACGAGTATCCAAGTGTGGTTCTTAGGCCTAAATGTTTGACAGTTTCGTTGCTGACAGCGACTGTCGGTGTTTATGCTTTCATTACGCGTATAGATCTCTTTATCCACTTGAAATCTTTGCTGTGGTATATCCTCTCCGTGTCAGGCGCTCGTTTCACCTACATTGACTGTTATGTTCTATTATATCTCGCTCAACACTTAAAAGTTCAAAGTTGGGCTTTAGAGTACCCTATTTGGCTGAAGCGCCGCACAAATATCTCCTTGCTCCCCGGTTTACTTTGAAGTAGACCTCTCTTTCCGATCCATAGACCGGTGTTCAAAGTGGAGGGGTTTCGGTGTTGTTCACCTCCAAGGCTGTGCTATCGTCTGGCATAGATTACCGGAGCTGAGAGTGGAACTCGAGACCTAATGTTTAACAGTTTACGCTTCAATCTAAAGACCAAATCTTAATTCCTAACTACTATTCCAAGTGTTACGGATCTAATTGGCTTAGCTCTCGCCGGACGGCTTTTCTCGCTTTATTTCAAAAGCAAGTTTGAACCGTACATTACTTTGTGCAGAGCAGATTTTTCGTGTTTATTTTTGTCAAATTCAGTTTCTTTTACGATTTTGGATTTAGCTATTGTGTAATAGCTTAGTGTCCGTATATTTTACTCTGGTACTTTTATCGTGTAGTAATCGTTCACTTTATCACCTTTACCGATACATTTACTGAGCTATCAGTAATGACCAAGCTGACTTCCTGTGGCGCTTGTTGCAAAATAGTTGGGCATAGAGCCAATGCTGTTACCTGCCTCATGTTTGGTGTGAATTTCCACATTTCGTGTATTTGTTTGTCTTTAGATCATGTTAAACTACCGCTTGAAATCCAGCAAGACCTTTTCCAATTATTGTGCAAGAAATGCCAAGCCACTATGTACTCACAAACAGCCGAGAAGTCGCGCGAGCCTACAAGAAGGGCGAAATGTTCCATATGGAGGAGCTCCGTGTGTTCATCCGAGCAAGCGGAAACTTAGCCACATCTATGTTCGAACGAGCCCATCTGCACACCGGTTGCAGACTCTCCAGCGCGATGTCCACCCGTGGCTGGCGTGCCTGTGTTGCGTCCTACGGACACTAACATACCGGCGTGCAATAGCGCAGGCGTTGGAGGACAATGGAGAATGCAGCGAAGCAAACAGCAGAAGACAACTGCCAACAATCGGCGATGTTTTAACCTTATGATATTTCACGCGCCTGAGTCGACAGGTGCTAATCTTCAAGCTTGTTATGACCACGATGTGGGCCTTCTTGATAGGCTTCTCGACGTGAATGAACAAGGGTTGAAGTGAAACAAATCACCTATCTTGGATAAAGAGAGGAGGGGAAATCCCAGCCTCTGCGAGTCACCTTCGTTGATGGAACGAGTCAGGGGTTGATACTATCCCGCCTCGGTAGTCTACAAGGTCTTAAGATCCATATTCGTCCCGATTTGGATCCGTCGGGCAGAGAGAAACTGAAGTCCGCTATCGTGGAGTTGAAGCGGTGGGCCGATAGTGGAGAAATCCATCTTCACATCGTAACTTTTCGGGTAGTTCCATGGATCCGCTGAACCCATATCAACAGATCGATGACGCTTCATGCGCGTCTGCCTGTTCCTCTCGCGGCCTGCGCATAGCTTTCACAAATGTTTGTAGTTTAATGAACAAACGCGAGGACGTATTTCACTTCGTTGCCTCACGTCATCCGGTCGTACTAGGACTGGCCGAAACCTGGTTGAATCCTGAGGTCACTACCGAGGAAGTCCAAATCAGTGGCTACTCGTGCTTCCGATGCGACAGACTATCAAACGATCGGGGCGGCGTGCTGTTATACATTCCGTCCTCGCTGTGTGGGAGACTGATACACACCTACCATAGTGAAGACGGTTCGTGCGAACAGTTATAGTGCTCGATGCGCCTGAGACAGGGTGAACTATTTGTGGGTGCTGCTTATCGCAGCCCGCGAAATCGAAACCTGGATTGGTTGCTGCATGTCAAAATCTACATGGGTCTGCCCCGCTTCCTGCTTATAGGTGATTTTAACGTCCCTCGAATACGGTGGCTTGAGGTTCAACTTCTCCCCGGGCACTTTGAAGTCGATGCGCAGTTTGTGGAGATGATAATTGAAACTGGGGCTGCACAACATGTCTACCAACCGACGCGCGTTACACCGCATTCTGCTCAATCGTGCCTGTGCCTACTACTAACGAATTGTGAGCAACGTGTACATGAAATTCAGATCCTGCAGCCTCTGGCAGCTAGTGACCACTCGATGGTTTTAGCCAGCCTAGAGCTGCCGCAGCCCTACTCGCATCTGGCGGAGCCGTCCTACAATTATTGGGAGGCCGACTTCAAAGGTCTTAGTCGAGCCGCCAGTGAAGTGAACTGGTCGCTGCCGTCAGATTCACCTGTTGTAGCCTGTTGGTCTGTTATAAATGTGAGTGTGTAGTTGTTGTGCGCTCGTTTCGTACCCCTCTAGTATCGGAAAGCTGGACCAGTGAAGCCACATTGGTTCGACAGAGAGTATCGTCACTTAGCTCGACAGCGACGTGTATTGTGGAATAAATTCCTCGTCTCTGGTTCTGCCGAGAAATCTATGAAAAAGCGCGACAGCATCGACAGTTCAAAGAGGAGCTTGCAACCTCAGCGAAGACGGCCTTTAAGAAAATTCTTGCTTACGTGAAGCGGCGCCTGAGGCCCGCAAGTGACGTAGCTGTGTTAAAGGGCACTGACGGACAGCGTCTGACCTCAAGCACTGGACGCGCGTCCGTATTGGCGGAGCACTTCGCTTCCGTATATACAAGTGGGCATGCGCCTATGCCGTGCTCGACGTGTGCAACCCCTACTGAAGTCGAAGGTCTTGATTGCGGTGTAGAAGATGTCTGCAGTCTATTCGCTAGTCTTGATGGCACAAAACCTGCTGGACCCGATGGACTCCACGCGCTAACTTTGAAGTGCGTATCGGCGATCTTCCTGCTTACCGTGACGAATCTGTTCAACAGATTGCTGTCCGAGGATGCACGGCCGAGCGATTGGATATGCTCGGTAGTGAAGCCGATTCCAAAATTTGGTGACTCACGCAATGTGGACAATTACCGGCCGATTTGTCTTATCTCTGTTTTGGCGAAGAGGCTCGGGAAGATTGTGATAAAGGGTCTTCTCCAGCTGCTGTAGTCAAAAGATCTAACGCCAGCACAACACGGCTTCATGAATGGCTGCTCGTGCATCAGTAACCTGCTGTTGACGCGATAGGAATGGTTGGAAGTGTTGAATCGGGGGAAGTCAGTGGATGTTATCTACATGGATTTCAGTAAAGCTTTCGATAGAGTGAACCATGAAGTCCTGCTCCACAAGCTGAGGATGTGTGGTGTTGGTGGCGCACTGCACCAGTGGATCAGTGACTTCCTTATTGGGAGAAAATGGCGGGTTCTGGTGGATGACCACCTAACGAAATGGCGTACTCCAAGTATTCGTGCCCATTTTATTCCGTATCCACATCAACGAAGTACCTCAGCTTCTTCGGTCGCCCTGCGTATTATTTGCGGATGGCATGAAACTTTGGAGGATTATGGATTATCCCGGCGACTGTGACGTCCTTCAGCAGAACCTCGACCGCCTATCCCGGTGATCTGCAGAAGTTAACCTACTGGTCAACACGGCCAAGTCCTCGTTTATGAGCCTGGGGAGGGTTAGTAATTGGTGTACATACACCCTGACCGACCACCCGCTGCATCCCACCAGTTCCGTAAAGGATTTAAACATACACTCACGCTGTGATCTGAAGTCTGTCGACAACACGAACAGACTGTACGCATACGGACTACGCCTGTTTTGGGCACTTAGACGCAGCTTCTACACTTGGTATGAAGAAATTGTCACCCTTACGTTCTCTTCCATAACAAGAACGACTCACCCAATCACAATAGGTGAGGTGCAGCGACTGGAATAGATCCGGCATATAGCTACCCGGCTCATCCCCAATTTACGGGGTATGTCGTACGAGGATCGATGTAGGAGACTAGGGCTTCGAGTTGATCTCATTATAACGCACCGGATACTGCACCTGGGTCACTTCCCTAGGTTGAAGCCGCTGCTATACGTTCGCGTACCAAACAGCACACACGAACACCAGTTCAAACTAGTGGTACCGGATTTAAAACGCATCGCTCACCTTCTATGCTTCGAGCGTTGAGTGGTGAAATATTGGAAGAAATTGTTTGAGACAATAGTCGAGGCGAAATCGGTGTCAGAATTTAAGAGATTCCTTGACGCCCACTTTGCGGACTACAGGTATAGGGAGCGTATCGCACCCGGATAAGATGTAGTGCAGCTGCAATGTGCTGCCACCGCGCAGGAATCAGGGACGTGATTCTGCGCATGTGCCCGATCCACCTACGATGGAGTAACACCGTTTCATTTTCTTCTCACTATTATCAGTATTCAGTCGTAAGCCAATATGTGTCGAGTTCCGCTCCCAGGTCCGGTCGTCTCAGTCTGATGACTCCAAACGAGCACGAAACATGTTGTAAGATGCAATGTTGTGGGCGAGCGACACTGAAACGTGGCAGTTTTTTATTTTCGCTTACCCATACTGACTACATCTGTGCTCTTTTAAGTTCAGTTTACGGCATCCACTTTGCTTTTTGAGTGTCTTTGTTCTCACTACATTTGCTCGGTGAACACTGTCGATAACATTTGTTCACGTTTTTCGGGTTATTGCATCGCGGAGTTCATGCTGCTTAATAGCTGTTGACGGTTGTGCGATAGCTCAGTACTGTTTCCGTTGTGATTGCATTTCCTTGTTTCTCCTGAAAATATTCATGGAATGCTATATCCGTCGACTTAATAAAACTGGTTTTTACGGCGCTTGTGGTTTGGTTGCCACAACCCGAATTCTTCCCTTCGTATGTCGAGTCGTTCTGCTTTCATTATAACGTTGGGTTAAAAGATGTGAAGGAAGTGCCGCTAATGGCCCACTTGAATAATGCAGTCTTGTTAGCTGAACCATCTAAAACAACTACTATGCTGGATTACCTTCCTAGCCTACTGAACTGCGTGGGGTTTAATCGGAGAATGCGTTTTTTCTGTTGATTCAACATTTGGTTAATTGGTTTTGTTGACCTTCGTACTGAATAGTCTTGACAAATCGCTTACGAGTTTTGTTATCTGTCGGATTGTGTATTTATCTCTTTTCCCCTGTTTTCTTTGCTTGTTCTACACCGCATTGCGTGCTTACCGTCAGTTACTCGTCCTTCAATTGATCCAGGTTGTTGAGGAACTTCCATCAGAGCGGACATTACAGGCATTCGACTCCCTGTCGCGTCAACTTGAACAGCACTGTTCCACCGAACCTTGCGAAGGTGTATCCGACTCGGATGTTATGGCGGACAGGAAGGCACGAATTCTTCAACTTTTCCGCTCTAATCAAATGGATGTCACTCTGCAAGACGTTGACATAGTGACTTTAAATGGTCTGGTGTCAATCCATCCCCCGTACACGCCTGAATCGTGTACTGGTAGCAATGTGATCGTGCTTGACCGAGTTAGAAAACTTATTCAGAGTGTGGATAGCTGATGCCTACCCCAACCTATTTACCACGCTCTGGTTGCCGATTTTCTTTGTACAGTCTCCGCTTGAATATTCCAATCCTTTTTTGGAACTCCATTTCTTCACTACTCCAAGTTAATAGATATATGAATAAACTGCACCGGCTCTTTTTCAGTGAGCCACGCCTGTTACAGCATGTTCAGGTAATTAAACTCATTTTCTAGACAAACACTACAAATGATCGGAAATTGTACAACAGTGATGCAACTCGATTTTCATTTTAGACAGGGCATAAATCTAGATTACTGTTTCAGTGTGTTATCTGATGCTAAACGGAATATCTTAATTGGTATTGGTAGGCCCTTTTAGAATAGGAATACGAAATGGTGAGAATATGTTTATGAATAATAGGAAAATATATTTAACCTAAGTACCTTGTGTGTACCAATTTTTTATAACACATTGTGAAAGCCGCTTTACCCAAGGCTATTCAGTGACATCGAATCTTGTTTGGAGCAAGAGAAAGGTCTAGCAAATGCAAATGTAAGAGTCGATTGCAGCAAGAGTAATAGGAACATCGACGATGAAGACGGAGATTGGGGAGACGTGTTCAGTTGACTTCCTTCCTCAGTACACACTTGTTGGCGATTACCTGGGGGTTGTCATGGCCATGTAAGAGGAACAAAGAACGTGAGGACATTGAGTGTGGAAGCTTTCTCACTTCCATATTCACTCTCTATTGCAGACTATTTTCTTGATCAAATGAATCCTGAGCCTTGTTCGTACGGTTGACTATTTGTTATGTGACATCCTAATTGGTGGATCACATTTTGCATGGCTCTTGCAAAATTCGTCCTTTCAATTGGAAGCACGCAGTTCGGAAGGTAGTTTGAACTTCTCTTCAAACATTTTCTTGATGCTCAGACCATCGCAGAGGATAATCGACGGTGCCCTGTCTGCTGCATCGAGCAGGGTGGATAGGGGTTTGGATGCTACTGCTCTTTTTCCCCCTTTTACGCTTTTTCTCTCTTACCATCCCGTTCCAGCTTCACTTTTATTCCCCTGTTTTTAACCCCTAATTCTTGGCTCTCCCCCACCTTGCTTTGCTAGGCTATTATCTTCTAGTTTCAGCTCACATATGAACGCGGAGAGTCATTTCTGTCCTGTCGACAAACCCATATCCAACCAAGCCCATATGCCCAGTACATCGACTTCCATTTGGAGCCCTCGATCATCCTTCAGGTTGGTATGCCTCAATGCACGTACATTGCTACAGATCGGTCAACAGGCAGCACTTGCCAGAACATTGGAGACCCTCTCGATCGATATCTGCTGCTTATCGGAGACCCGCCTGCAAGGCTCGTGCTCTGTGCTCACTTTGCAATCCCTTTCAGGTGATAGCAGCAGCACTTTCTCATGGAGCCTATCCGGTGACGATGTAACTTCGAGCACCGGCCAACCCGGAGTTGGTATTGCCCTTAGTCTCCGGGCTGAAGCTACTCTGGTTGATTGGATTCCAATCAGAAGCCGGATGTGTGCGGTCCGATTGGCTGGCTCCTTCAAAGCTTCGAAGCCGCGTGTGACTAACAGGTGTCTATTCGTCATCGCTGCCTATGCACCCACAAACTGTAGCGATGATTCGGTAAAGAACGACTTCTACCGCCAACTGACTCAGCTCCTTCGCCACAGAAGAAGCACGGACACTGTTGTGCTGGCTGGGGATCTGAACGCTCAAGTTGGAAAATTATCCACTGATGAACTGCATCTGGGTGGCCAACATGGTATAGGCTCCCGTAATGGTAATGGTGAGCGGTTACCTTATTTGTGTAAAGATGCTCGCTTATTTCTTGCGATCACTAACTTCCGACACAGCACCCGCCGGAGGGTGACTTGGTGCCCATCAGCCTCGAACCAGCTATGGACGCAAATCGATCACATTGCGATTATTTACCGATGAAGAGGCTGCATCCAGAACTGTCGCTCGATTTGAAGCACAGGTGTGGACACCGATCATGCACTTGAATGTGCTGACCTGCGGATGCGTTTTGGCGGACGCCCAAGGCGACGTTGCGAACGCATTGACACCAGCCAACTGGCGAATCCAGCTCTTCTTAATGCCTATCAAACTACGCTGTCATGCGAGTTGAGTAAGCGCTCACTGGATGCAATTGAAGCTCACTGGTCTCATATTCACCAGACCTTACTAGCAGCAGGAAAATCCTCATGTGGTAAGTCTAATCGCGAACATGGACATTGTGTCTCTTCGCAGTCTCTGGAACTTATCCATGCTCGCCGGCATATTCCGACTGGAAGCGAACACAATGAAACTCGCAGAGTTCTGGGCAAAACTCCGTGTTAGCCTGAAGAGAGACCGCGAATCCTGGTGGTCTCATCGTGCGTCAGAGATAGAAATACCCGCTGCCCTTGGTAATCATTCCGGCTGATACTGGAAACGGGAAGCAGAAGACCTGGTGTTAGGGAAACTGTACGTGACGAGAGTGGACAACCTATCCACATCTTGTAAAAACGTTTGGAGCGTTGGGCTGAGCATTTTGAAAGGCAATTTAATTGGTCGATAGTGTTAGATTTCTCGTCGGCCACTGATCGCTCCGCTCCGTGGGCTGTCCCTTTTGATCCACCCTCTTGCTCAGAAGTCAAACGTGAGATTGCACTGTTAAAGTTAAATAAAGCCGCGGGACCAGATGATCTACCTTCAGCTTTCTACGAATTCAGGGGACCTGCTCTTGTGGATGATTTACACGAGTCACTAGTCAAACTGTGGGAGCAGGAAATTGTCCCAACCGACTGGAGCCACTCCGTCATAACCCAGTTTTCAAGGGAGGCTCACGATCGGAATGCGGCAACCATAGAAGAATCCGTCTGATCTCCATCACCTGCAAGTTGCTTGCCTCTGTCATCTTTTGTAGACTGACTGGCACTTGTGAAAGCCATATTCGTGAAGAGCAAGCTGGGTTTCGTCTAGGTCGTGGCTGCATCTTCAGTTTGCGTTAGTTGTTGGAGCACTGTCACATGTATTGGCGGCCCACTGTTGTCGTGTTCCTCACTATCAAAGGTGCAATTGATTCCGTGGATAGACGTGCACTTTGGGACTGTCTACTCAGGAAAGGTGTACCTGAGAAATATGCAAATATTATCCGCTCATTATACGCGCGTAGCTCAGGCAGAGTGAGGGCTTACGGCAAGCTGTCGTCGCCTTTTAATGTTTCCAACGATGTGATAATGGATGTCCGCTGTCACCTTTTCTCTTCAACTTCGCTACTGACGAATTCATGGAAATCGCGTTCACAGGACACGACTTAAAAGGTGTGGATCTGCTCCCAGGAGAACGACTTCTTGACTTGGAGTATGCTGACGATATTGCCCTAACCAGTGACAGATCCCAGACGTGCCATGCGGCACTGAACAGATTAACACGGACTTTTAACCGCCTTGGGTTTTGCTTTACACCATCGAAGTGCAAAACTTTCCTCCAAGATTGGCCTGGACCACCTCCTTCGCTGACCCTTGGTGGGGATCAGCTAGAAGTCGTTCAAAAATTCAACTACCTGGAAGTTGTATCAGTGCCCCTGGGGTTGAAGATGAGATCGCGAACCGTATAGCACAAGCTCGAGGCGCTTTTGTTAACCTTCGCCACTTATGGCGCCGGCGCGACATCACTCTTGCCCTAAAGGTTAGAGTGTACAATACAGCGGTATGTTCTACCCTACTGTACGGTTGTGAAACCTGGTCCCTTAGATCAGCGGACTTAAAGAGGCTAGTTACGTTCGACCACCGGTGCCTTCGCAATTTAGCTCACATCTGGTGGGAACACCGCGTGAGCAACGAGCGTGTTCGACGCCATGTTTACGGCACAGGAAAAGGAAATGAACCGCTCAGTACCGTTATTTCACGCACCAGGCTCCGATGGCTCGGCCACGTGTTACGCATGCCAGCCCACTGACTCCCGCGACGTGCGTTGTTTTCTCGCTGGGGGTGTGGATGGAAGGAGAGGTGGCCAAGCGATGACTTGGTCCAGAGGAATGAAGGCCCTCACTTCGAAGTTGGTCTCAGTTGGAGCGTCTCGACTCCCTGGTTGGGGTCCGAAAGACGATGAACACGTTTGGATGGATACATTTGTTGATGTGGCTAGGAGCCTACCTCAGTGGCGTTCGTGCTGTGATTTTTTTGTCCCACCCCACCTCTCTTAACCTCCCCATCCAACCATGATTTCTTTATTTAGCACTATAATTTTGTCTAGTAAATTAGTTTTTTCTGTACAGTAGCCGGCTTGTAGCTTACCGAAACGATGTCCATCCGTTACCGGTAGCTCACCTGGCTTGCACCTGTAGCATTTTATCCCCTTCTTTGCTTTTAGGTATTGCGCGCAGTAGCTAAGGTGTTTTCCACCTCTTGGTAACGTGTATAGTTTGTGTGTGTGTGTGTGTGTGTGTGTGTGTGTGTGCAGTTTGTTCCAGTTTCTGCTCTATCTATTGATGAGGAATTTGGCGGATCTGGTAGTCTTTGACCTGCATTCAACTACGGAATTTTCCTTATTTCATGTATTGTATAATGGTGATTGTGTGATTATCATGTTAAGGTTGGAAACATATATTTTCTTGTGCAGGGCGTTGAAGATTGGCATTAGATTAAGCTTATGCGCCTCATTCAGAGGGATAGCCAGGTTTAAGTTTCCCACATCGTTCGGAACATTACAATTTTGACGAGCTACCTACTAAAGGTTTTGTGAATGTACATTTTCTAGTACAATGCGATCGAGTTTGTTTATTCTGCTGTTCGCCATTGCAGTATGGGAGGAGCAAGTGAGGAATGGGCACTTCCCATTGATTCTTTTAACTTAAATGTTCCAAATAACATTCCCATGCTCTGTCTGGCCTTTGCAGTGACGTAAGCTACTTCTCCGGAGAAGTTCACGGAGCATGGGTATCTCATTCTCAACTCCTGAATTGTGTGGTATGTATTAAGTGACTTATCATAAATAGTCAGACCGCTAGGTGTTATGTCGCATT